TTAGAATATGTAAATCCTATTAGTATACATAGTTACACAATATACAATTTAGTTCAGAAATTTGTTTATCTATATTTACTTTTTGCTGACAACTCCTCATTTATTTCAATCTTAAAATTCGTAGTATTAGTATTTGGGAAATGGTGAGAGTTTAACGCATGATGCACATACGTTTTAATGCTTACATGTATTTAGTTATGCACAACATTAATATCTTATAATGTCCAACTTGAAAAACGGATTTTTTTTTTTCCAAAATAAAAGGTTTGGTGATCTTTTTGGCATAGTTAATCACACAGTTCAAGAACAAACCCACAATACATATTTATTTTGTTAAGTAGAGGATGGAAAGAGGGGTGATCTCCCCTCTTTGGGATGTTTCAATTTGCTAATAAAATCTTGTTTGGCAGATTTAGAGATGATGGTTTCATCATTTTCAATGGCTCTGAGACTGAGATTCTCGATTTCTTTGAACTTGGCAATCAGTGTCATCCGTACTTCACCTCTGAAATCTCTGTTGATTCAGTAAACTTTTTAGATACAAAAGTTTTTAAAGGAAGAAAATTTCAAGAATCAAACAAACTTGATATCAAATCTTAATATCTACACAGAGAAAGTTCTTACAACCCAGCGGTATTCAAAGGTTTCGTTCAAGGTCGCAAAAGACATTTGCGAAATACCAATGGTACTGCTCACAGTATATTACTAGTATTCTACAAGACTTTAAGAAACACTTGTTAAAGAGAAGCTTCTCTGATAAAGAAATAGATCCTATTATCACAAGAATAATTGGAACAGACAGAAATGATATCCTAAATAAAAGTAACGGCCAACTGAGACCCGACAATAAATTAATTATGGTTACAAAATATAATCCGAGAGTCAGCGGACTAAAAAACGCATCTTAAAATACTGGAACAGATAACTCAGTTACATACCAAACAACCCCAAAAGATTGATACATGCTCCTTTCTGAAAAATATTTCAATAAAGCATGTATCAATCTTTTGGTGTTGTTTTCTATGTAACTGAGTTATCTGGGCCAGGAATTGATTAAAGAATTTCCTGCAAGTTTCACAGTTTTCAAGATCCCTCAGGTATTTTCCATTTGCCCGGGGCATTTTTTCCCAAACTTTTTGACTGCAAGAAAAACATGAAAAATGAGGGTATGCATACAATAAAAATTATTCGAAATTAAATAACCAGGAAAAACAAATACAAGAGATCGCAAAATAATGTAATATATAATATGTATACATCAACTACGAAACAGGAAATCACTTTCCGCATGAACGCACACAATACACAGGTAATCCACAGAGAGATCAGGTAGTCCGTGCATCTAGTGAAGTGGACATATTGTCATGTAACCAACAACCAAAACTGCTTAGTTACGATGCTTATCAGTATTATTCTTGCAGTATTATTCTTTAATTTCTTTTGCTCTTGAACAAATTAATGATAAATGAATGTTTTTTTAGCTATGTGAATAAACTGATAAACTATCATTATTTTAACCGTTTCAAAAACTAAATACATTTTTTTTCAAAACCCTTCTTCTTGTAGAGGATACAAATTTGTATTATAAATTATCAGTAATAAAATTTATAAGCACATGTCTATATCCAGTAGAGGTCCCATCACGCGATCACGGCATCTCCGGTCTCTCTCTCTTGACGGTACATTTGGTAAAAACAAAAATGTTTGGGATGTAAAATTATTGCAGCAATTTTGCTGCTATATTGCGGCAACATTGCAGCAACACATTTTTGTCACCAGAAACAAGCTTTTTGGGTTAGTGAAATATCACCGCTAGCGGCAACAACTTCTGGTGACATTCTGGCAATACTGCCAGAAAAAAAACTTTCTGGCAGTATTGCCAGAATGTCGCCAGAAGATCTAGGGTTACCTATTAGGCATTTGTGAGCATGCTCAGTCATTTACTTCCTCTTTTTAAATAAAATGGAGGGAATTGAAAGGCAAGCATGTTTTGCTTCATTATTGAATGGTATCAAATTAATTGGAGTTGTTACTTGTGTACAATATGATTAGACATGATGACTAGTAAGACTGAATAATGTGGAATAGCCAGAAAAAAAAAGAATTTCAGCAGTTTCCATGGCATGGCCTTTTGAAAGAATTATAGGAATGTCTAATCTGTTTTCATGGTATATATATTAGACTTGGTAAGTCAAAACCATATTCTTTTTCAGATGAATGATTTTATGGAGTTAAAATAGGAAAAATTATATGCATTTCAACTAGTGCTTGTGATGCATGTATACTATATACTTGTATGTCTATATATATCATACCATTGTTGCAGGAGAAGATGAATGCATGTTATCAATTAAATGCATGCATATATATGATTAATTTATTGCATAAATTTGAATACCTGCAAGAAAATAATAATTCTATATATATGTTGGAAATTACAAACAAGCCATGTATTATACATTATACTGATTGGCATTAGGGAATATGTGATGGGCAGCTAATTATAAGGTTAATTGAAAATTAATGCAGAGTTGCTGGACATTTTTACAGTGGCATATTAATATTTTATTATACACACATTTTGTATGTGCCTGGATTGATAGATTAGGGCGCATATTGTTTTTGTCCAATCTGTTTGTAAAATTTAACCTTTGCCATATGCGATAACTTTTGAACCAATGAGATATAGAGACTTCATATTTGGTATGCATACTCCACTTATTAAGTCCTTTCAAATTACACCAAGGTCAATGACCTGGTGACCTTAACTGTGACCTATATGCTAAAAATAGTTTTTATTGAATATTTGCCATAAATTAAGAACCAGGAGAAATAGATTGATTGATTGATTTATATTGTTTAACGCCGAGGCGGCAATATTTCAGCCATATTTCGGCGGCCAGGAGAAATAGAGACAATATACTTAGTATATGCATACTCAACTAATTTGGGTCTTTAAAATGACACCAAGGTCTTTGACCTTGTAACCTTTGCTGTGAGCCATATGCTTAAAATAGATTTTTTGAACCTTCAATATAACTTTTGAACCATGAAAGATGGCAGCCTCATATTTAGTATCCATTCTCCACTATTTATGCTCTTTCAAATGACACCAAGGTCAATGACCTTGTGACCTTTTTTGTGATCTATATGCTAAAAATAGCCTTTATAAAACCCCACCATAAATTTTGAACCATAAGAAAAAGAGACTTCATATTTAGTATGCATATTCCACTAATTAAGTTCTTTCATATGACACCAAGATCAATGACCTTGTGACTTTGACTGTGACCTATATGCTAAAAATGGTTTTTCAAACTTTGTTGCCATTGGGGGCATAAAGTGTTTCAAAACACATCTTTTTTCAACAAAATTTTTCTATCTTATCAAAGAATAGCATAAGCTTAAGTAGCTATTTCTTACTGACTCTGTAGCTTATTATGCTCTTGATTCTTATGTTCCTCAGCACAGTTTGTTAATTGTTAGATTGATAGATCATTATTTCTATTAAATACCAATTTATATCTAATTTACATACGAAAAACGATATTGCCGCAATATTGCGGCAATAATGCCGGAAGATGTTGCCAGAAGATCAATATTTTGGTCATGATTTGCAGCAATATTGCCGCAACCCCTTTCTGGCAATATTGCCGCAAAACTAATTTACATACGAAAAACGATATAGCCGCAATATTGCGGCAATAATGCCGGAATATGTTGCCAGAAGATCAATATTTTGGTCATGATTTGCAGCAATATTGCCGCAACCCCTTTCTGGCAATATTGCCGCAAAACTAATTTACATACGAAAAACGATATAGCCGCAATATTGCGGCAATGTATTGCCAGAATGTTGCTGCAATATTGCGGCAATAAAGCCAGAAGATGTTGCCAGAAGGTCAATAATTTGGTAAGGGATAGCAATGACATTGGGGATGAATTTCATTACTTATTTAAATGCACTGATGTGTCTATAAAGAATTCAAGAGTCATGTATTTGTCAAAATATTTTTATTTGGATTCAAATATTTTGAAATTTGAAATGCTTTTTAATGTAACCAATACTAATCAACTCTTCAAGATTTGTAAATTGTTAGATATTATAATTGAGAGAGTTAGCTCTCTCGGTTAATTGATATTACTCTGTTATCCCTTCTTCATGCATGTAATATTTCCTGTTTATAATACTGTATATATCTTCTCTTCACTGTTTTGTCAGTAATGAGAATAAAGTTCAAGTTCAAGGAAGAGCTATAATTACCTTCAAATATTCTTAATTATAAGATGTGTAAAACACTATATAATAAAAATCTATTCAGCGCTTTTCTTTCTTTAAAAAAACAAGAGGCCCATGGACTACATCACTCACCTGAGCACTGTGGCTGGGAAAAAGTAGAAATTGGTTTATTATTGAATAGTTTATATCCATTGGTCCCATGACCAATCATTGCTTTGCTATTCTTCATAATAAAGATGATTTTTAAAGAATTTTCCTCTATATATGTAAAACTTTGATTGGTCATTGTGGCACCGCTCTACCTCCGGGGGTCATGATTTGAACAAACTTGAATCTACACTACCTGAGGATGCTTCCATATAAATATGATCAATTATGGCTTTGTTACTCTTGAGAAGAAGATTTTTAAGGAAATTTCCTATATATATCAATGTAAAACTTTGGTCGGCCATTGTGGCTCAGCCTTATCCCCGGGGGTCAATCATGATTTGAACAAACTTGAATCTACACTACCTGAGGATGCTTCCATACAAATATGATCAATTATGGCTTTGTTATTCTTGAGAAGAAGATTTTTAAAGAATTTTCCTATCTAATTCTATGTAAATCTTTGGTTGGCCACTTTGGCCCCGCCCTACCCCTAGGGGTCATGATTTGAACAAACTTGAAACTACACTACCTGAGGATGCTTCCATATAGAATATGATCAATTATGGCTTTGTCATTCTTGAGAAGATGATTTTTAAAGAATTTTCCTATCTATTTCTATGTAAAACTTTAAAATGTTAGTCTGTGCTCACGAAAACGTGAGAAACTTAAGAATCTGTTACACTGGTTCCCTCTCGTGCATCAGCAACTTCCTGCTTTTCCCTGAAAAAAAATTATAAAATGTATTAGTAAGTAAACCAATTTCATGTGGTAAATGATGATGACATACAGGAATCACATTTATTTCACAGGTCAAACTCAAACAATTTTCCCTGAAAATTATTGACAAGCTCTAAACTGAACAAGAGACCTATGGGACACATCGCTCAGCTGAGCACATTGGCTCGGCAAAAGCACAAATCAATATTCAGTATTGAAAAGATTACAAGGGGGGGGGGGTTGAAGTTTAAACTTCCTGATGATGCTTCCTTGTCAATATAATAAATGGCATTATTGTACTTGAGAAATAAGAGGCCCACTGGCCTTGAATTGCTCTTCTAATAAATTGTACAATCTGTCACTTCTACTTGAAGCCTCTAACTCTAAGTATCCTAAGACCCAAGTTGCATCAACTGACAAAGTTTGATGATTCTTAGCCAGTTAGGACTGAAGATATTTCAATAAAGCTATAAAATACCATAAGTAGGTCACAGTGACCTACGTTAAGATTGAAGTTTTCCGAGGACTCAAGATGCATTAAGGTTAAGGTAGTCCGATCCTCAGGTTCATAAAATTAGCAGTTAAGTAATCGAAAATACATGTGTACTCACAAAAATATCTGAATCCACAAAGTAATGTAAATTTACCCACAGTATTTCTTTAAAGAATTAAGTATGTTACCTATTATATGGAGGCCCGGTATTTTCCATAATTTAATATACAATTTTGCCAAAATATAAAAACTTTGTGCATGTACTAGAAGATTGGTAGTTTTAAAATATGCGATGCAAAATTTCCACACTCCGTTACTTAGACGTATACACCACGTTTAAAGATCCGTTTTTTTGCGGAAATTGCTAGATTTTCCATTATTTTCAACAGATATTTCTAAAATTGAAGTAGTGAACATCCCTCGAGCAAAATAAAACATGTATATTTCAAAACATTTTGATGAAAGACGGATGAAAACAGGTATAAGATTTTGCTCAAGGAATGTGCAGTATGTTTATTTTGACTTTACATTACTATTTCCGGTGGCGGATTGAAAGTTCATTGAGAGGTGTAATTTTATTTATGTGAAATTATGTCACCATAGTTCATAAAAATATAAATAAATAAATTCTCCATGCATCGGCAATGTATTTATTTTTCATGCAAGTCTATTTTTAAGAAAAATAGCATACAAACTGGAAAATACGAAAGGATTATAAGGCAGATGACGATGAGCCCTGCGATGTGTAGGCCTAACCTGCATCTGACAAATATTTCCAATAAGGATAAAGAACCAATGAAAACGCTAAATTAAAAAAAAAGTTCAATTGATTAACCGTATTAGCACAGAAGAAGAAAACGAGTTTGTATTTTATCACATACTTTCACCTTTATCCCGTTGATATAGCTCATGTGATATCGTTTTCGTATCAACACTATGTATTCCTACGCCACGTGATGTAATGTATATAAACAAATACATGTGCATGATGGAGAGAATGACTTAATTTGTCAAATTTCACTTTATTTGATATATTCTAACAAATTTTTATTCATGAATTAAAAAAAAAAAATGCTAAAATACTTTCTTTCTTTTATTTTTGTACGAACTATTTCATAAAGCCTAATATTATTTATTACGTTATTTGGTCCGAGGTAACTGTAAGGGAACTTTGAATTAGAAATAAAGACAAAAAATACACATTTATAGTGAACAAAAATATAAGATAACTAGAGCAAAGCTCGTTGCAAAGCAACGAGAAGGTCTTCCGTCCTGTTTGACCAGAAGTAGCTTTGATTTAAAAAAAAAAAAAAAAAAAAGAGAAATAATGCTCAAAAATGCTTTGAATCCTCTAAAGCTATGTTAATTATTGCAAAATTAAGATGGGTCGTATTATGTTATAGACTTCATGTATGTTTGTCTGTCTGTCTGTCCGTCGGTCTGTTAGCTATTCTCGTGTCCGGTCATAACTTTAATACTAATAGGCCTAATGTTATCAAACTTTGTCAGCTGATACATCTTGAGTAGAAGGTGTGTCACGCACAAAAAGTAGGTCGCTCTGACCTATAACTAAGAAGTAGCCAAATATGGACAAATCCTTTCTGGTCCATCACTAGAAAACTGTTAGACTTGAATCATCAAACTTGGCCAGTGTATGCATCTTAGGTAGAAGGTGTGTCGCGACCTATTTCAAGGTCACTGTGACCTTTAATTTAAGTGAATTTTTTTTTAATAGTCTCTTTACTATTCATTTACACATGCAAAAAATGTAAGAGTATTGTACTATCCTTAATTAGCCTACAAATATTGCAAGGGATTGGGAATTCCTGATACCAATAGGCAACTCATTCCAGATAATAACCCCTGAATATTGTAAAGAATTTTAAAATAAATTTGTTTTATTCTACATGTATCGATTATGAATAGATCGCTTGAGAAATCAGACAAGGATAATTTTCCAATGCAGATGTTAAAGAAGTTAATTCTGCGTTGTCACCATAATCAGAACTAGTCTATGTCTGAACTCTCACTTTATTTACAATGTTTTTTTTTTATAATAATATAATTTGATAGATAACAGCAAAATATAGACATACTAAAATTAAAAGTGCTTAATGGTGATGTTTTTAATATCAATAAAAAACCACAGGACTATCTGGGTTACTAAATGGCATGATGTTATACAAGAGGCCCATGGGCCACATCCCTCACCTGAGAAGCTTTGACCATTCTGTTCTTTACCAGATCTTCCCCTTGTAATACATATTGCGACCCCACCCTACCCCACTGATCATAATTTAGACAATTTGAAATCTACAGTACCCAGGATGCTTCCAAGAGCAAAACGATTACATGTGTAAACTGCGACGTTTCGATTAAATGGTCTAAACGTTTACAAATTTAGTAAACCTTTACACCAAGGTTAATATCAATGTCTATCGGAAAAAAACCTTTTATCCAAACAAGTTGTTTTATTTCATATTTACTGATACAAACATTTTTTTCTGTTATAATACTGGAAATGTAATATTAAACTAAACTATCTAGAAACCAATATGGTATAACATATCTAATTCCGATTTCCGAGGAGTGAAAACTAGCGATGTATTACAGTGGACCCTCATTTATCCGGACGCTTTGGTTCCCAGTCAATTTGTCCGGATATGTGAAGCATCCGGATATCTGAATCACAAGTTAAACAAGACAAAATAACATTTAAAAATTTTGTTCCGTTGAAAAATCGTCCGGATACTGAAGCATCCGGATATCTGGCGTCCGGATATCTGAAGGTCCACTGTATTTTATTTTTCCAAGTATATGTTCTAAATTAAATAACCTTTGTTGTTGCTTTTTATTGATAAGAAAGTAAAAAAGTATCACGCTTATAACGGTATAATGTTGAATATAGAGCTTTGAAAAATTGAACGTAAACCAAAACCCTCAATGTTATCGTATTATATTTTTATATTACTATCTTGTTTCAGTTTTTGACACTTCCTACTCTTTCGTCATAAAAACCAACAAATAAACAGTAATGACAACTCATACTTACATTATATAGTGAAAGAATGGTTTATTAAAGTAGTGTTTCATGAGTAAGTAGCCAAGAAATTCATCACATAAAAATCTCCCGTTTAAATGGTACCGTTTCGTTTATTGCTGCTCGTTTAAAAATTTACAAAATTCAGTAAACGTTTCACCATTAGATGCTAGCTTGCTTCCACATAAGTTTCAGCTTTTCTGGCCCAGTGGTTCTTGAGAAGATTTTTAAAGATTTTTTCTATATATTTCTATGTAAAACTTGGATTCCCCATTGTGGCCCCTCCCAAACCCCGGGGGTCATGATCTGAACAATTTAGAATCTACACTACCCCAGGATGCTTCCACATAAGTTTCAGCTTTTCTGGCCCAGTGGTTCTTGAGAAGAAGATTTTCAAAGATTTTTTCCTATATATTTCTATGTAAAACTTGGATTCCCCATTGTGGCCCCGCCCAACCCCCAGGGGTCATGATTTGAACAATTTAGAATCTACACTACCCCAGGATGCTTCCACATAAGTTTCAGCTTTGCTGGCACAGTGGTTCTTGAGAAGAAGATTTTTAAAGATTTTTCCTTTATATTTCTATGTAAATCTTTGATTCCCCATTGTGGCCCCGCCCAACCCCCGGGGGTCATGATTTGAACAATTTAGAATCTACACTACCCCAGGATGCTTTCACATAAGTTTCAGCTTTTCTGGCCCAGTGATTCTTGAGAAGAAGATTTTTTAATGACCCCACCCTATTTTTGTCATTTCTTGATTATCTCCCCTTGTGAGGGGACTTGGCCCTTCATTTTTACAATTTAAATTCCCCTTTACTTATAGATACTTTGTACCAAGTTTGGTCAAAATTGGCTTAGTGGTTCTTGAGAAGAAGTCGAAAATGTGAAAAGTTTACAGACGGACGGACGACGGACAAAATGTGATCAGAAAAGCTCACTTGAGCCTTCGGCTCAGGTGAGCTAAAAAACAGTAAGCAACACTTTACGAATTGCAATGTCAATCTGGAGAGCTTTAATTACATCCAAATATTCTTAATTACAAGATGTGTAAAAACACTACATAAAAATCTATGCAGCACTTTCATTTCATAAAAAAAAACCCAAAGGGATTTTAAGGAAACTGCACTCAAATTTACAAATATTTTATTTTTCCAACAAATTCAGATTTTCTAACCAATTAGCATCAATCTGACCGATTAATCGATTAACCAGTTACAAATTGCCATCCCTATTAAAAACACATATTCTTATATCCGTAAAGGATACACTTTAAAACATTGGGGCTTTTTTTCTTTTTAAAGTAATTACATTTTGCCTCAACAATTCTTTAATCTCTGATAAATTTTTTTTTACAGACTTGTAGATTTGTACAGCATTTTTAAAACTTACAAAGGCACTTGATCAAGCTGAGTCCTTAGAGATTTGATGAAGATTTCCTTGTGGGTAGTTTGCATGTGTCTAATCAGTGTAGATTCCTTAACAAATTGTTTGTTACAGTGACCACATTTCTGAAGTGGAACCAACAAGTGGACTTTCCTCACATGACGATTAAGGTCACCTGTAAAAGAATGCAACAAACCTGCATATTTCTTAGAGTAGTGTACAAATAATTTTCATTTAGATATAAGAGGATTTTAAAGTTATAATGAATTTAATTAATATATAACTGAGATTTGTAATGCATCTTAACTGTTTCACTCTAAGTAAAACAAGAGGCCCACGGGCCTTATAGGTCACCTGAGCATTATGCAACAATTTTCCAGTTATTGAATTTGATTCATGTTTTAAGCCAGATGCTATATGACATTCACAATTTTGAAAGAGGCACCATTGATCATCATAACAATACACTTAGCAGTTGCTTAGCTTGGTTACTGAATACCCATATGCAGGGTAGGGGAACAAAAATGCATTCCAACTAACCAGTAGTGCCCCTAACCCTGTGACATAAACCCCTGACCCTAGGTCCACACATTACACAAATTTCAAAAAGGCACCCTTAATATCAAAAAATAAATAAATGTTTTATAATACAAAAGAGCAGATTTCAAACAATAAATTCATTATCAGTATATAAGTAGAGCCCCCATTCCTGACCCTGGGGCTATGAAATTCACAATTCTGCAAGATTAGGGCCCTTGCTCATCATAACTATAAAGGTAGTTCATCTGCTTTATACCCAGAGACAAAGAAAAAAAATTTCAAAGATTTAATGTATTTTCATTATATAATCAATTGAGCCCCGCCCCCCTAACACCAGAACCCCTGACCCTGGGGCCATAAAATTCATAATTTTAAAAGAGGCATTCTTGCTCATCATAACTATGTACTTAGTTTATTTAATTCCTAGGAGCAGAGAAGAAGATTTTCAAAGAATTCATGTATTTTCAATATATAATCAATAGAGCCCTGCCCTAACACCAGAAACCCTGACCCTGGGACCATAAAATTCACAATTTTGGTAAAAGCACTCTTGCTCATCATAACTATGCACTTAGTTTTTTTAATACCCAGGAGCAGAGAAAATGATTTTCAAAGAATTCATGTATTTTTACTAATATATAATCTATAGAGCTCCGTCCTAACACCAGAACCCTTGACCCTGGGGCCATAAAATTCACAATTTTGGTAGAGGCACTCATGCTCATCATAACTATGCACTTAGTTGGTTTATTTAATACCTAGGAGCAGAGTAGAAGATTTTCAAAGAATTCATGTATTTTCAATATATAATCAATAGAGCCCCCCCCCCCCCCCCCAACACCAGAACCCTTGACCCTGGGGCCATAAAATTCACAATTTTGGTAGAGGCACTCATGCTCATCATAACTATGCACTTAGTTAGTATATTTAATACCCAGGGGCAGAGAAGAAGATTTTCAAAGAAATCATGTATTTTCACTATATATAATCAATAGAGCCCCGCCCTAACACCAGAACCCCTGACCCTGGGGCCATAAAATTCACAATTTTGGTAGAGGCACTCATCTTCATCATAACTATGCACTTAGTTAGTATATTTAATACCCAGGGGCAGAGAAGAAGATTTTCAAAGAATACATGTATTTTCACTATATATAATCAATAGAGCCCCGCCCTAACACCAGAACCCCTGACCCTGGGGCCATAAAATTCACAATTTTGGTAGAGGCACTCATCCCCATCATAACTATGCACTTAGTTAGTATATTTAATACCAAGGGGCAGAGAAGAAGATTTTCAAAGAAATCATGTATTTTCACTATATATAATCAATAGAGCCCCGCCCTAACACCAGAACCCCTGACCCTGGGGCCATAAAATTCACAATTTTGGTAGAGGCACTCTTGCTCATCATAACTATGTACTTAGTTGGTTTATTCAATACCCAGGAGTAGAGAAGAAGATTTCCAAAGAAATAATGCATTTTCACTATATACTTATTTAGCCCCGCCCTAGCACTAGAACCCCTGACCCCAGGGCCATGAATTTCACAATTTTGGTAAAGGACTCAATGCTGATTACAATCATGCAAACAGTTTGACTGCTTAATGTCCAGGAGTAAAGAAGAAGATTTTTAAAGATTTCATTAATTTTAGTGGTTTTGGCCCCACCCCTCAGGCCCCAGGGGGGCAGGGATCATGAAATTCACAATTTTTGTTCCCCTTCACCCATAGATGCTTTGTGCCAAATTTGGTGGAAATTGGTTCAGTGGTTGCAGAGAAGAAGCTGAAAATGTTCAAATGTTAACACACGACGGACGACAAACGACGGACGACGACGGACGAAAACAGATAGCAATAGGTCACCTGAGTTTACTCAGGTGACCTAATAATGCAAATCAAATTCCTGTAAATTACATTCACATGACAGTTTAAAATAAACATATAATTTTAATGATTAATTTGATTAATTTTAATGCTTCTGGATTAAATTCTGTTAAATTCCAAAATAGTCGTTTCTGTAGATATTGCTGTATATAGCTCATTTATAAGTTTATTGCCCAGTTATGGATTTTATCTAATTCTGCAAGTTTATGGAAAACACAGGAACAGTTATAGCTATATAGACAATATTCAGCTAAACAAACTGCTTGTAAGGATATGATTGTTTCCAAGACATTGTTATATAAATATTGCATGTAGTTGAGTGTAACATTGAAAATGTTCACCCCAAGAAAACCATTGTCAACCGAGGCGCAGCAGAGGTTGACAATCATGGTTTTCTGGGTTGAAAATTTTCAATGTTACACTCAACTACATGCAATATTTATTACATTATACTGAATGTTTCATACAAATACATATAACAATGAACCGTGCATGCATAAATTCTGCGCAGTCGCTATTTTTTGGAATATCACCCGTCGTTAAGCAATGTTGACTGTTGCTATGCTGGAGGGAGTGGCTTCATTATTCAGCAGGTAATACCGTATTTGGGGGAATATAATACGCACTTTTTTCCTAAATAAATTTCTGTGAGAAAGGGATGCGTATTGTACATCACAATGGGATTTTGATAAGTTTTTCTTTCAGGTGAAACACAGCTATCATACGTACATACCATAGTATTACCTAGAGACATATGCAATTTCTTTTATCGCCATATTTTAAACTTCGGAAAGTTATTGTTGGAAGGTATGCTTGTTAAAAATGTCACTTTCATAATCTTTTGATACTAAAATAACATGAAAAAGCAAGTTAAAAGTAATTTGAGCTGCATGTTCATCGTCTCCGAGTAGGCCGCCATTACCGATGTTATTTTTAGACGTTCACTCATGCCTATGTCACGTGCTTCCGTAATGATAGTGCACATGCACCTTATCTGCCAAACAATTAGTAATAAGTCTTTTTTTAATGAAATACAATAAAATAAAAATTTATTTTAGGTTTTAAATAACTCAATGAAAATCTGCTGCAACATAAACACCCCTCCATACGTCCCAATGAAAGGAAGCCAATGTTGTGACACACGTGCGCTGTTCAAATGATAATGACCTATCAACACCCCTTCGGGCAATTAATTGTCTACCAACTCCAAAGCAATGTTTTTACAGTTAGAGCAATGATTATTTACTGTTCTGTTAATTGCTTTGATTCTTTTCTTTGTTAAAATTGGGGGTCAGTTTATGACCTTTAATATGTGTGAGCATGTGTTGATTACGACACATTAAACAATTAAACACTTTTTAAATGTAATTTTACCTAATCTTATACTTATCGGCCTCTTTTTTAAATGATTGAGAGTTGACAAATGAAATATGAATTATGCTAAAACTTAAGTGTTATCATTTATTGGTGCTCTTTAGAAAATAAGATATCCGCGAAAATTCAGAAGAGAAAAATCGAAGTCTTCTTAAATAAATACTTTGATGATTCAATTTCGTGTACTTTTAAAAAAAATTGTAACATAATTTTCAGCATGATTACCTAGAACCAAAATTAACAAGAGGCCCATGGGCCACATCGCTCACCTGAGAAGCTTTGACCATTCTGTTCTTTACCAGATTTCACCCTTGTTATACATAATGCATCCCCACCCTACCCCACTGATCATAATTTAGACATTTTGAAATCTACACTACCCCATGATCCTTCCATGGGCACATATGTTTCAGCTTTTTTGGCCCAGTGGTTCTTGAGAAGAAGATTTTCAAAGATTTTTCCTATATATTTCTATGTAAAACTTTGATTCCCTATAATGGCCCCGCCCTTCCCCCGGGGGTCATGATTCCTACAATTTAGAATTTACACTACCCCAGAATGCTTCCACATAAGCTTCACTTTTTCTGGCCCAGTGGTTCTTGAGAAGAAAATTTTCAAAGATTTTTCCTATATATTTCTAAATAAAACTTTGATTCCCCATTGTGGCCCCACCCATCCCCCGGGGGTCATGATCTGAACAATTTAGAATCTACACTATACCAGGATGCTTCCATATCAGTTTCAGCTTTTCTGGCCCAGTGGTTCTTGAGAAGAAGATTTTCAAAGATTTTTCCTATATATTTCTATATAAAACTTTGATTCCCCATTGTGGCCCCGCCCTTCCCCTGGGGGTCATGATTTGAACAATTTAGAATCTACACTACCCCAGGATTGCTTCCACATAAGTTTCAGCTTTACTGGCCCAGTGGTTCTTGAGAAGAAGATTTTTTTGTCTTTTCTTGATTATCTCCCCTTGCGAGGGGATATGTCCCTTCATTTTAACAATTTAAATTTCCCTTTACCCAAGGATGCTTTGTACCAAGTTTGGTCAAAATTGGCCCAGTGGTTCTTGAGAAGAAGTTGAAAATGTGAAAAGTTTACAGACAGACAGACAGACGGACAGCTAGACAGACGGACGGACGGACAGACAGACAGACGGATGGACGACGGACAAAATATGATCAGAAAAGCTCACTTGAGCCTTCTGCTCAGGTGAGCTAAAAATGATTACTGTTAAAACTTTCAACAATATCTCATGCTTTTTTGAAAAATTCTGTTAATACTTTTACGCAACATTATCTTGTGCTTTGTGGAAATGAATGAATAAATAATTTTCTCAAGATTGCCGCGATATGGAATGTCAGGATCAAGAGAA